TTAATAACTGGTTATAAGCTGTTTAAGGGTTGGTTAATAACTGGTTATAAGCTGTTTAAGGGTTGGTTAATAACTGGTTATAAGCTGTTTGTGGGTTGGGTATTAACTGGTTATAAGTTATTGAAGGGTTGGTTATTAACTGGTTATAAGTTATTTAAGGGTTGGTTATTAACTGGTAATAAGCTCTTTGAAGGTTTGTTATTAATTGGTTATAGGCTGTTTAAGGGTTGTTATTAAATAGTTATATGTTGTTTGGGGTTGGTATTAACTGGTTATAATCTGTTTAAAGGTTGGTTATTAACATTGTATCAAGGTGTTCTTCTCTTGTCTGTCTTCAGGTGATCTGTGTTTGTTTGCTGCTGACTGGACGGGTTTCTTCAGTGGAACTAACCTGTGAAACTTTGATCCTGCTCTCCACCAACCTGACAGGTAACTTCCTGTCTGAGTCTTCAGCTTTAATTCTCAGTTATCAGATGATGGTTGAAAACAGCTGATTCTTCACTTCCTGTCTGTGTGTGTGTCAGCGAGGACGTTGATGTTGCTGAACCAGACATTCACCATCAGTAACTCCTCAGGTTGGTAGATAGCTATTATGTTTTATTGCCCTGTGGGTCAGAGGTCAGATTTTTTTTAAATTCTTTTATAAAATAGAAAATTCTGTTTATACAAGTAGCTTTAAGTACAAACTTTTATCCTAAAAGTGGAAGAATTTGTAACAAAACTCAAGTCACAGGAGTACATCTGAGTACTCAGTGATATAGTAATACTCGGGATTTACCTAAGCTCCACAGAAAACTTTGACTGAAGAATTTTTAAATAAAAATAAAAAGCAGATCCAACAACTACTTTAGTTTTAGAAAGCGGACTCCTGTCAGACTTGTATAAATGTTAAAACWATGTTAAAAATTAAAATTAATGTTGGTTCTTATTGGAGCAGAAATAAAGAGACTTCATTGGTTTGTTTRGTCCCTTTGAGTCTCTGATGCTCCAACAGGAAACTGAATTTTCCATCACAGGCTGATGGAAGAAACATGTTCCTTCCGACCCAGGAGGACCTGAACCTCCTCGGGAGTCTGATGAGGCTGAGTTCAGAACCCTGGACTGATCTCAGACACTGGTCTGTTAGTCAGCTGATCAATAATCCAGATTATCTGGAGGAGCAGCCTGGAGCTTCTCACACAGAAAACATCTGTGGAAAAAAAGTCCAAGAAATAAAAGTAGGAAGAATTTAACTCGAAGAAGAAGGAGGAACATTTAGCATCCAGACTGAGGCAGGAAGTCCAGGTTGATCAGGTGCTGTGGAGTCCAGCAGGACTGTTGGATCACTGATCTGTCTGTCTGCAGGTCTGCACTGCGACCTCTCTGTGGACGGGATCGGGACCTGCTGGCCTCGTAGTGCAGCAGGAGAGCTGATCTCCAGACCCTGTCCTGACCAGTTTAATGGCATCTACTACAACACCTCCAGTAAGTACCACAGTACTACTACTATTAATAATAATAATAATAAATTTTATTTCTAATGCACTTTTTATTTGATGCCAAATCTCAAAGTGCTATAGAGGCAGTTTAAAAACAACAAAAACATCAATATAAAACATTTAAAAGAGCAAATAAAATATACATGGATAGGCTTTAATCACAATAAGCTTTCWTAAAGAGGAAAGTTTTAAGTCCTTTCTTGAAGGCATCAACCGTTTGTGGAGATCTAAGATAATCTGGAAGGGCATTCCAGAGACGGGGAGCTGCAGTCACAAAGGCTGTGTCGTCCATAGTTTTAAGCCTTGTCCTGGGCAGAACCAGGCGATGCTGTTGACCAGACATAGCCTGGGTAGATGTTTGGGTGTGAGGTAAGTGGGGGCCGTACCGTACAGACAGTGATGAGAATCTTATATTTTATTTGGAACTGAACAGGGAGCCAGTACAATGTGTGTAGGATGGGAGTGATGTGCTCATGTTTCCGCACCCTAATCAGGATCCTGGCTGCACTGTTCTTAACATACTTGAGATTTTGAAGACTCCTGCCAGGAATTCCACTGAGGAGTGCATTACAATAGTCTAACCTGGAGGAGACAAAGGCATAGATGAGCTTCTCCGCTGTAGGAAGGGAAAGGGAAGGGCGTGGCTTGGAAATGTTACGGAGGTGAAAAAATTAGGTTTTGCAAATAGAGGTGATTCGATTGTCGAAGGAGAGCAGGGGGTCAAACTTAACCCCCAGATTATTCACAAAGAGAGAAAGGGGAACGATGTGGCCAAGGAATGAGAGTGAAGAAATATAAGAAGATTGTAGTTGGTGAAAAGTACCAATTTGGATAGCTTCAACCTTGGAGCCATTTAGCTGCAGATAATTTTGACTCCACGCCCTTATGTCCTCCAGGCAAGATCTAATATGAGCAAGGTTGACAGAAAGGGCACTGAGGGCGTGATCCAAAAATAGAGCTGTCTCATCAGCATAGCAGTGAAAGTTAATTCCATGTTTGCTAATGACATAACCGAGGGGAAGCATGTAGATAATGAAAAGAAAAGGACCAAGCACGGAACCCTGGGGTGGAAAAACTTTGCCTGATCTGATGAGYCGATTTCTGGTGTGACATTCAGATGATCGTGTCAGAATTTGGCATCAAGAACATGAAAGCATGGATCCATCCTTCCTTGTATCAACGGTTAGGCTGGTGGTGGTCGTTCAATGGTGTGGGGATATTTTCCTGACACACTTTGGGTCCATTAGTACCAATTGAGCATCGTGTCAATGCCACAGCCTACCTGAGTATTGTTGCTGACCATGTCCATCCCTTTTATGACCACAGTGTACCATCTTCTTGAGAGGATTGGTGGAGGAACGGACTCAGGGCGCAGGCAGGTTCAAAAAGGAACAAAAAGATTCATTAAATGACAGAAAATGCTGTTGAGGC